GGTGGCTCTCTGGCTTTCAGCCTCGGACTGGGGGCTGCTGTGGTTCTGAGGCTTCCAGACTGAGGCACGACCTACTTCTCTAGCTCTCTAGCCTGCAGATGGCCTACTGCAGGACTTTGCACCTCTGTGACCGTGCGAGACAATTCCTCTAATAACTCCCCTCTCATGTAGCCTATGGATTCTGTCTCTCTGGAGAGCCCCGACTAATACACACACTTCTAGGGGACGGTGCTGGTTAGGTTTTCTACTGATTGAGTATCCCTTATCAATATGCTTGGGACCACAGGTTTTTTTTTCAGATTTTGTTAATATTTGCATTATATTTAACAGGTGAGCATCCCAAATCCAAAATCTGAAATGTTCCAATGAGCATTTCCTTTGGGTGTCATTTCAGTGCTCAAAACGCTTCAGGTTTAAGAGCATTTCGGATTTGGAATTTTCAGATTTCAGATGCTCAATCTGTATGAGCAATTAAAGGCGTCTGGGAGGGGCCCAGAGTTCAAGATCATCAGATAAAGTTCCCCAACCATCTCCTGTCTCCCTTAATACAATGTCACTTGGTTGAAGCTTGCAAAACTGTCACATAGACATTAAGGTTGCTTTTTAATAAAGTGTTTAATTTAGTGACCTTTAAAGTCCAAAGAGAAGGGACCTATGTAGACACAAATTGCAGGGGGCCTTACAGAGTCTTTGGGACCTGGGTCCCCAGACCCCTGCTGTGCACTTCCCTTTAGACTTGAGATGGGGGAGGGTGGGGTGCCAGCAGTCGGGACTCCAGGTGGGGAGGGAGGTAAGCTACCAGCTGTGCACCTCTACCCACAGGATGCCAGCAGTGAAGTGGGGGGGCGGGGAGCGGTAGGTAACAGCTGGAAGGGCCACCACAGTCGGGAATCCCGACCATGTGGTTGGGTGAAAACAACGTCAGGGAGCAGCGTGAGGAGCAGAAACGATAACAAGGCCGCAAGTAGCACGACTGTGGGGGCTCCTGCTCTGCCCTTCCCTGCTCAAGCAGGCCGGGCGCGTCCCTGGGGCTCACCTCAGCCAGCAGAAACAGGGGCTCAATCACATCTCTCTCTACTTGCAATTCAAAGTGTATCAGCTCCTGGGCCAGCTTGTCCTCTGTCTCTCCACAGAGTTTCAGCATCTTCCTGCAATCGAAGGGGAAAGAAGCCACACTGAATACCCTCAAAGACAACATTTCACCTGTGTCATCCTCCCATGCTGGGTGAACTTTCACGAGTCAATGTTTATAAGCAGGTTGATCTCTATGGCGTCCCATGGGCCAACCTGTCTCAGCTGTTTTCATTTCTGAAATGATCCATTCTCCCAAATGGTGCTGAGTACACACTGTGTGCCTGGGGCAAGAGGGGACATGTGGGGACACATGAGAGAGATGTGGAGAAAACAGACTCACACATGCCAAATTCACAGGTCCTAAGAAGGCCAGATGCTTCTGTGT